ATACAGTGTGTATATATATATATATATATATATATATATATTCTCTGACAACAAGTCTTATCTCATGCAATTTAGTTTCTCAATTAATGAATCTTTTCTTGTTTTAAAGTTGTTTACATATTTTTTTATGTAAAGCAGGACAAAAATACTGAACAATACATTGGAAAGATGTGCAGACCACTGGACTTATATTAACTTATTATTTAAGATCAGATGTTCTCTTACCACAGCACATTATAGATATAAATGTGTGAAATAGATTTAACGGTCAACAGTGTTGTGATGCTCTGTCGATCGACAGGATAAAGGCCGGGACTCACCAGTAACATGCTCGATCTCTGCTGTATGTGTCTTTGAAGCCTGAACTCAGGAACATGTCCTTGTAGACGCGCCCGCACAGGCAGTACACGTCTGAGGCCACGGTGCTCCCTGACTCCACAATGGGTAAAATGAGCTTTAAAGCCTTGTCACGATCACCGGGGTGATTCCTCCTTTAAACACATTTCAAAATGTTTTGTAGGGAATAAAATTTATGTTTACTCCAATAAATTGATGTTTTTGTGTAATGTATTGTTAAAAACAAAAACAAAACTCACCTGTTCAATGCAAAAATATACTGAAACTTAATGTTCTGATGTGATATCACCATGCACATGGGCAAATTATTCAAGGTCTCCAACAGATTTATGATGGAGTCGTAGTCCTTGAATCACATGGAGAAAGAGAGTTCAGTTTCAATAAATTATTCACACATTTGGCTGTCACTGCTTATATTTCACAACCATTGTCACATATTATTGCTTGTTCCTCTGGGTAGAAAAAAATAATATATTTTTTTTCCTACAATAAAATTAAAAGCGTATGTAGCATGAAAATCTTAAAGAAGAGGAAGCAATAATTTACTACATGATTTATTACGTCATCAAAGCCGGTGAGATCTCTTTTCTATATCTCATTAATAATTAAACAGATTCAGGTGAGTATCACAGCAACAATCAAAACATTCACACAAAGAATTGCTGACACAATCATGCATTCAACCACAAATATTGAAGAAATACACATTATTGGGAAAAAGTATGATGCAAGTACCTATGTTGAAACCCCATTTCTATGCATGAGTATCATTCATATTCGTGTTTGTAACTGAAAGCTTAGCGTTGTACACATGTAACTCTAGTAACTCACCGGGATGTCTCTGTAAGACAGTAGGAGGCTCATAACAACGTCTGGACTCAGAAGCTCCACCGAGTCCAGACGCTTCTGGATCCGGCCCAGCTCCTGACTCAGGGCCGCTCCGGAAAAGTGCTCTCGAGCCAGACGGATCTCCCTGCGGATTGCCTCGTGGAGGTATTCGCTACAAGGCGAGAATGTTTTCTCAAGATTTTATTCAGACACTATAAAAGTAACATTTAGCAGTTGACATCCAGGGAAAAGAAAATGCACAAAATTACTTTCCTACCTTGAATGAATGTGAACACCTTCAAGCAACTTGACCAGTCGATCCACCAAAGGGGTCAGCAGGGATTCAAATTTAAAGCTGGAATGAAGGAAATCTTTGATCCCTCTCATCAGTGTGGCATCACAGGCAAATACTTTACCCTGCGGTGACACCATGTAGGGGATAAAAGTGTAGCTCCCACATTGTTCCTAGAATGAAGAATAAGGGAGACCAAACAAAAGCATCATTATATAGGACCGGGACTAATTGTCAAAAGGACGGTCAGTGAGGTTCTATAAGGTTCAGAGAAAAACTCCAATTATACAAATGCTTGTTTTAGATAGCAGTGGTTTTTGGGAAATAAAAAACTTAAATTACATTATTTTAGTGAATTCTACTATCCACGTAGTATCTAGAATATCATCATATTTTGGAATATCTGTTGGTAAATAAGTGTGCACAACACAAACAACATACATTAAGTCAACTATTTAATGAAGATTTAACTAAAAGGTCGAACTGTATTTTCAGAGTCTATACAGAAACTGGCTTTCTAAAACACAGAAATATTCAATGGAATAAAAAGTGTATTCAAACTGACTTTCGAAAACAACCTTGCACTTTTGTGTGTAGAGTCTCACCTTCACAACTTGAAGATGTTCCTCTTGTTTGTTACAGTACAGGATGACATTATTGGTCATACTGAAACTCTCTCTGACACCCAGGTGATAAAACAGAGACGGCTGGCAGATAGAGTTATTCATCTCCACCACGACAACATCTAAAACACAGAGTTAAAAGCAACCGCTTACACGTGCACTTTGGAAATATTCCTGAAAATCCCAGTTATGTACGTGCCACAACTTGCCTGCGTTGTAAAAAGTGTCCAGGATTTCAGTCGTTCCCAACGCAATGCGCTCAAAAGAAACGCTCTTCAGCACAGCGTGCGCGTCTTCGCAGGCTTCTGTAAGACATGTATGTGAAAGATTCTCTTCAGTTTGAGGCAAAGACCCGTCCCCAACGGCGATATACACCACGTTTAAAGCCCTGGTTCGACTCCGCGGGGATATTATGCCTTTACATCCGCCGCCTATTTCGAGAGCCAAAGTATCCTGCCATAAACTTCCAGCTGAAACTCGGACGGGATCCTTTCTCTTGGTCTCGCGCAGGCTCATGCGCCTGCGTTCAGTCGTATACATTGTGAATCTCGAAAGCAGTGCCTAGCTAATAATGAAAACCATCCTGTGGCCGCGTCCTCGACATGCCTTTACTATGGCGTACAAGTATTCCTGTAGTTTTTTCAGGTAAGACTCTGAAGGAGGATCTTTTAGACGCGCCCTCCTTCTGCGTCCCGCCCTCCTCGTGTCACGCTCAGTCCACAGCTGTGCGACCTCGCCTACAAGTTCAGCCGCTGCTTGCTCAATGACGATTTGCCTGTGTTTGTTTTGAAACTATGTTTTGTTTTATACAAAATTCTTCTATTACAAAAACGTTTTCACTAATAGAATACATATATTATTTATATTGATTACACATAAAAAATATATTTACATTTACATTTATGCTTTTGGTAGACGCTTTTATCCAAAGAATGTACACATTTTAATGTACACATTTTACATTCTTATCAGTTCAGTCGTACAATATATATATATATATATATATATATATATATATATATATATATATATATATATATATATATATATATATATATATATATATATTGACTATATGTTCAATCAATGTTTAATATATTAAATTATTAATGCTTAAATATTCATATATTTTATTATTAATATCATGGTAATTTTATATGCCAAAAGTAGGCATGTTTTAGGTGATGTTTACAGTATGTTTTACTACATTAGGTTACATACATCAAATTCAAACTTACACATATTTTTCATAAGTATCTAATATATATACATCGTTAAGTAACATACTTAAAACAGGTACAGCTAAGTGTAAATGGCTCACAATAAAATTATTTTGATTATTCTGTTTCTTCACGTCTCAAACATCACATCTCCTTGGTATCTAAATACCCTTTGAAAAAACTCTAGAGGCATAAATGTTGTAAATGACTCAACAACTGAGGCAGTCGTAATTTTAGAAACATATATATTATTTTTTACACAATATCATGTAAATGGTTGTTTATTACACTCTTTATTTAGATCACCATAGTTCTAATTGTAATCATATAATAATTAATGTTGACAAATTAATTTTCAGTTTAAAATTAAACTCCTTGGTCTGGAAACCATTAACAATAAAATAAAATGTGACTTCCGAGACAAAGGAAAATGTTCACAATCCTGCATTCTTCTTCATACATAAACCAAAAAAAGTGATACAACTAAAAAAAATCTGTTGTCTTCATCTTATTACAGTGAAACCGACATGATGTGATTTTTTTTACAAGCACTCTGTTGCACATATATTGTGGAGGGACTTAATTAAATGCAATGGATCTTTTTCACATACTGTGACGGTTTAACCGTCATCAGCATCACAAATCCTGTAAAGTTTTTTTTATTTTAATTTTTTTATGTATGTACATTTACACTATATATATACTACATATAACACTATACTTAGTAGTATATACCTTTGCATCAAATTACAACAAAAAAAAAGTTAACGCTGCTCTGTGAGGGTGTTTCTACAGCGGCTGTGGGAGTGACAATAATACACATTATAGACATTACACAAACATACACATTATAGATAACTATCATTGCCTTCTTGACCCATTTTGATAGGAGTCTAATCGTCCCGTGCAGTCGCGTGCAGCCCCTCCCCTCTCCACGCGCTGCTACTGACACACACAAGACTACACGCGCACTAAAAACATGGCGGATAAACACTAACCCTCACACTTGAGAAATCACACAAAAACCTTTCCGCGCAAGGTAAACAGTCCCCTTCCTACCGTCCGTAATAATTGCGTAGCAGTTATTACATCACTTTATAACTTTAGTTTCGGAAAATGTAAAGGGAAAACACAAAAAGTGACTCAAGAGAGTTGCTAGAGGTTAGCATTTAGCTAATGCTTGTTGTATATGCATTGGAGGTGTTGCCTTACAAAAACAAAGACCCAAATAAGTAACGTATATTTTACTGTTCGTTTCCTAGGATCGAGGTCAGAATAGCGTAAAGAAATATGCAATATAATATGCATGATGCTACGTAGCATAGCATCATATTTGTTGAGTGTGGTGTTTTGTATGCAGTGTTCTTAAAAGTCTATTGTTTTATAGCGTTTAATGCACATAAATCATCCCTAGAGAGTTTGGCATGATTTTAAATGTACAAAAAAATACAGAATAAGCTTTTGTTCGAGTTGTCGAGCTGGAGGAGTGTAGCGTCCCAGTGAAACGAGGCTGTAGTGGTGCTTGGTTCGTGAACGGATCTTTTAAGTGAACGATTCATTATCTATTTCCATGGATCGACTCAATTTTTCTCCTCTCATGCCTTTCGCAGCACGAATGAATCTTTTTTTAATGAACTGATTCAAAAGACTCGAGTCACGCTGGGATGAATCAAATCCCTGCCGCTACTGCGCGCTGTCATTTATGGAGAGGGAGGGACTGTGTGTTTGGCGCTCAAAGGCGCTCTGCATTTGAACAGAGAACTGGAAAACTGGGAGACAAGGAGCCATCTTTTGAGGTATCTGTACGCATACAGTTAGTTTTTATTGATCTAATATCTGCTTTTAGTCATGAAGGAGCGGTGTACGAACACAGAAATTATCAGATGCGCGCGAGCAGAATAACTAGTATTGACTGAATTTTTTTTGACTGCTAAAAAACTGATGGTTTAACGGGATCTTATCGTTTATAGTATTATTATCTTGTTGTTGTTATTATGTTATTATTCATTTGAATATGAAGGGTTCCATCTCTAACAGCACTGCCCAAACATGTCGCTTGTTGTTTACTATTTCACATTGACCTTTTAGGTCATTGCTGGTTGTTAAGCGTCTGACTCAACGACCCTTTGCGTCAGTCCAGAAAGAAAAATGTTAAAGGGGTCAATCTGTGTAAGAAAAATGTCCTTTTATCTAGTTGTCGTATCCATGTCCATGTTATTGTCCTTTTGGGAATATAGCTGGTTGGCAGTGTTCAGCATTTCGACAATGAGAGACCAGTGACAGCTGACCAGGACAACAATTCAATGCCTGAGAGACAGACAGACAGACAGACAGACAGACATGCCACATCGAACCAAACACAACAGACATTAATGTAAGAAAACAGGTTTAAAATCTCAGTTTTGTGTTTATGTTTCGCAGAGAGGTTGGGAAAAGCTGGATCATGAAGAAACCTGTAACACAGAAAGGTGATACTCTTTTTTGTTCAGTACGTTAATATTTTTGTTTATTAATAAATGAATATTTTGCAGCATTATTTTTGAATAGAAAATATTGGCATTTTAATTAAATGTTACGTTTTTTTAAACGAATTTAAATAAATGCATAAATGTTTAATTCATGTATAAACAGATAAATATAAGTTTATAAATAAATGTAAAATATCACATTATACTTTGTCAGATTGTCACTGACACATTAATATAAACTCAATATAAATGCTACTTCACAAAACCTTATGTCAGCCAGTTTGAAAATTTTACTTTGGTGATATTTAAATGAACACAATTCATAAAACAATGTTTAGTTTGCAAGACATATAAAAACATGATTATTGTAAGATGCACATAAGATGCAGGATTTTTTTTCTATTAACCATCAATACAAATAGTTGTTTTCGTTGTTCTTGACCCATGTAAACTTGTATACAGTCAGTGATCAAATAACAACAAATTCCAAGCAGTATCCCAAATAAATACAATATAATAAAATAATATATACAATATATAAATATAAGATACAAATGAAATATACAGTGCTTTTTCAGTGTTTTTTCAAGTAGGTAAGAAATATTGCAGAAAGTATGTCAAATGTAAAATAACACTGCAAAGTCTTCACTGTATTAATTAAATATAGATTCATCCTTATTAAAGTAACAACATTTGCTCAATCAAGAGCAGTGAAAATGTACTCGTTCAAGTTTTTTCCCTTTTCCTTTCCTTTTGACCTAATTCTCTGATCTAATGTATTGACACGTATGATTTCAATCAATTATTTACGTTAATTTAAGACATAACAGACTGTTTATGAAGATACTCGCCAAGATTTGCATTTTGTCATAATTTCAATAATGAAAGTTATAACTGTTATCAGGGGAGATATTCTGACCTATCTATCAGGCTAAATAAAAAATGTGGTGATTTCTGATTTTGAAGTGTTTTCCTCTCCCAGTAGCTATTGAGTGGAAAGATAGCAGACGGATCAAGCATGCTCGCAGTGGCCGTCCCTCTCGTGTGCCATCACAGTACCAAGGTAGCAAACTCACTACACTTAAATACCTGCTTTGAGTCAGATATCTAAATTGGGGCACATTCAGCATTATAGTGATTCACATCTGAAAGTAGTCTGGGAAGACTTTACAATCCTCTACGGACACACTGAAACTGGATTCGCCATTGGCTAGTACATTTTTGAATTTACTCGCCAGACTTTTTACATGGAATGCAAGAACAATGCAAACTAAAACAAATTTACATAAATATAATATAAATATCAAACACTATTAAAGACAAGTTAACAGTCTGAAATAAAATAAGAACAAATAATCAAACTACAAGCAATAGCACAAATAAACAATTTAAAAAGGATACAAATTAAATAAACAGTGCTTTTCAGGTTTTTCGGTTAGATCTAACAGTAGTTAGATTAGTAGATTAGGTACAGAAATTGAATAATCATAGTCTTCACTCTATGAATGAAATATGGATGAATCCTTATAAAAGTTATTCAGTCAAGAGCATTGAGTGATTTTTATTTATTTATTTTTTTGCAGTGAGTCTTTTTTTTTTGATTAACATTAAAAATACAGACATCAGCAGGAATATTAGGCTGCTGTCACATAATGCACGGATTAGGGATGTGACGGTGAGGATATTTTCCCACCGGTTAATCGACGTAGGACAATTAGCTTTTAAATCGCTAATTTAAAGGCGAAGGTAAAATGCGCGCGTCCGCACTGTCGTTTGAAAGATTAGTACAACGGCGAGCGGGTCGAGTATAAATGCCTCGTCCGTTTGGGGAGTTTCGCGCTCAGGCAGATGCTCGCGCTGCGGAGCCAGGCGAAAGTATAAACAAGGCTTAATGGTGCAGAGCGAACGTTTTCAGTTCATTTCAATGGAGCTCTGTTCTGCTCGCTCTGCGCCTGTGCGCATTTTAGTTTCGCTTTTCAAACTAGCGCCAATTCAGGGGTGGATTGCTTGAATGGTGAGTTCATTAGCCTATTATTCTTAATGAAAAACGCAACAACAAAACAGTACAATGACAAATTCGTCATTCATATCATAATCATTAATCATTCAGGTTTAGATTATATCTCACTGTAAACCTTTATGTTGGTAGTTATGGAATGGTAGACACTAAAGACAAAAGCCTCTCAATCACACTGCAATGCCTTAGTGCTCAGATCCGATTTTTTTTTGTTTGGCTGTTAACATAATTTTTTTTTAGTGTGAATAGCACAAACCACATGGAATCTGATCTTTTCAATTCCGATTTGGGCCACTTCCATATGTGTTACTAAATCCGAGACAGGTCAGATGTTTTGCAATGTGACCTCATTATGAACAGTCATATTGGAATTCATGCGACTTTTACACCACTCTAGATTCATCACAATTCTGCGTTAATGGGAGTCAGATTTTACAGAAGTTCCAGATAAACCGAAGTTATCAAGACAGTTGTGAAAGGTACTCAGGAAGGATGGTGATGTCTCAGAACTCATAAGTATTACAGTGACAGCTCTACAAACAAAACATGAGGGCTCGTATCATAAATGTTTAAAAACTCTGCTCTTTTTTCGCATCCTCGTCTTTGTTTTTTATATTGCCTGTGCATAACTTTGCTGGCTTCCACGGCAGATAACACAATAAATAGTTGGTAATCGCTTACTTTAATGCCCTTTGTGTTTACTTGCGTATGACAGCATACTGCGTTACATATTTTTTATCATTCTTTTGTGCATCCAGGTCACTCCAGGACCATGATCTGCTCACACTAGAATCTGATATTGGCCTCATTTAAAACAAAAATGTGAATGGTAAAAAAAAAGGAAAAAAGATCAGATCTGAGCAGTAAATTGGAATTGAGCACTAAGGCTTGCAGTGTGAACGTAGCCCCAAGAGTTGTTTGATGTTGACATGTTTACCTCTACTTTTAAGGGCATTTCAGTTGGGAGAAGTACCTGAAAGAGACAGGAGCAGTCGCTGCTCCTCCTCACTGCTTCAGACAAGTGAGTCTTTTCATGCACACATGCAACTGTGGAACACTTCATTATTATGGGCCAATTTTAAATGTCATACTACCACATTAAGATAAAAAGATGACCCCTATTCTCAGAGCACGACCCCTCCAGTGAATGAGTTTAAGGCTGGCATGAAGCTGGAAGCTCAGGATCCTAGAAACACTACATCGACCTGCATTGCTACAGTGGTGGGCCTGACGGGTTCTCGCCTCCGCCTGCGACTGGATGGTAGTGACAACAAGAATGATTTCTGGCGCTTGGTGGACTCTGCAGAAATCCAGCCCATTGGCAATTGCGAGAAAAACGGAGGCATGCTGCAGCCGCCACTAGGTCTCTAGAATCTCACAAATTTAAAACCTTGATTCTATTCACAGTGAAATCTGCTTGTTAAGACTACGTCATTAAGACGTAACAAATACTGTGTCCGGGTCCAAACCTCCACTCCATTTCAAGTGAGAATACTATCACAACGGCCATTTATGAGCAATATTTATGTATAGCTCTTTAAAGGTGCCCTAGAATGTGTTGAAATAATATTTGAATTTTGTCTCTGATATCTACATAGAGGGTATGTGGCTTATTTAAGGGCATTTAAAATGTTAAAATGGTTTTACAGGTCCATTTTCAACTCTAGAAATTGGCCCTAGAATGAAATGGTCTGTTTTTACCTTATTTGGAAGGGTCATGAATAGTAATGAGGAGTTCTGCTCTGATTGGCTGTTTCACTTCACACACTCTGAAATACAAGCGTGCAAAATAATCACACGTCAGTTTTCAAAAATTAAAACATTTTAACAAATGGACTAACGTTAGATGCCTTGTCAAATAAATAGCTTCAACTTATGTGTTGGAGAATGTGACGTTAGCTAGAAGGATCGAGTGAGCTAACATTATCTGCGAGCAACTAAACTAACGTAGTTAGCCCCTGACGTGTTGTTGATAATAATAATAATAATAATAATTCATTACATTTATATAGCGCTTTTCTAGGCACTCAAAGCGCTTCACATGGAAGGGGGAATCTCCTCAACCACCACCAATGTGCAGCATCCACTTGGATGATGCGACGGCAGCCATAGTGCGCCAGAACGCCCACCACACACCAGCTTACTGGTGGAGAGGAGACCGAGTGATGAAGCCAATCAGTGTATATATATATGGGGATGATTAGGAGGCCATGATGGACAGAGGCCACTGGGCAAATTTGGCCAGGATGCCGGGGTTACACCCCTACTCTTTCGAAAGACATCCTGGGATTTTTAATGACCACAGAGAGTCAGGACCTCGGTTTAACGTCTCATCCGAAGGACGGTGCTCTTTGATAGTATAGTGTCCCCGTCACTATACTGGGGTGTTAGGACCCACACAGACCACAGGGTGAGCGCCCCTTGCTGGCCTCACTAACACCTCTTCCAGCAGCAACCTGGTTTTCTCAGAAGGTCTCCCATCCAGGTACTAACCAGGCTCAGCCCTGCTTAGCTTCAGTGGGCAACCAGTCTTGGGCTACAGGGTGATATGGCTGCTGGCTACTATTGATGAAATAGACGAAAGTAAAATTATTTGACAAAAGGGAATTTACATATGAATCTACAGTATTATTGTGTAGATTTATATGACAACACAGGCAAGAAATATTAACCTCATCGTGAATACTTTGTCATACTATTTAGTTATGTATGCTCGTTACTTGGAGTTTGCTATTGTTACTGTAACGTTACTAGGATCTTGCGCTGGATCTAGATAACACAGTGTAAATTATCGATAATAAAATCACTAGTTTACCACTTGCGGGAATATAGTTGGAATTCCCCCCTTCTTCAGTATGAGACGCTGAGAGAAGCCTGCTTGATATTGTCCCAGGTTAGAAAATAAGTCCGTGGTGAAATGGGCAGAGCAAACCCGATTATAGATAAACATCAACCACGCCTGTTGACATTTCTTTTCTGTGGGAAGGGTATGAAAAGTCCTCACATCCCCTGCACAGCCTGGAACATAACATTTGTTTCCATGATCTGCCATTTTCCCTATGATCCTCGCTTGTCTCTTCACCTGGAAAACTTCAGATGATTCTGCTGCGCAGTTCTGCCTGGCATTGAACATGGGCTGGCATTTAAATTTTTGGAGGCGTACATATTAATGATCCCGACTGTTGCGTCACAGTCGGTGTTATGTGGAGATTCGCCTATTTTTCAGGGGTGTTTTTCAAAAACGAGATTTAAATAAGAAGGAGAAAACAATGGTGTTTGAGACTCACTGTATGTCATGTCCATGTACTGAACTCTTGTTATTTAACTATGCCAAGATAAATTCAATTTCAAATTCTAGGGCACCTTTAAAACTCACAATGTACACTACAGTCTCTGGACAATATTTGAACAATTCTGAAAAGATGCATCACTGTTTGGCCAATGGAAATTTGGGTATGGAGATAAAGGTTAGGATCATGACGTTTCTGTAGTATTACAGCACACCGTTTACTTTGGTTTCTGATAGAGCGCTTGGACCCGGAAACGGTGACGTGTGACGTCAGAAGTAACAAGCGGATAGATTTTTTAAAAAAAATCATTCAAGTGAAGATAGGTAATTTTACCCCATTAGCACCATCTTTTGAGTTAAGCTAAAGCACACTACTTTACATGATTTTGATAATGCCAAAGAGAAAATTAAACAGAGCACAATAAGACTGTCAAAGTGCTGTCTCGTCTTGCAACACAAGTAATCAGCAACTTCCTTGCCTTCATAAAAATGTGTTTTGATCAATTTGGAGTGATATTTGACTCTAAATGTTCTGTGTTCTCTAGGGTTTCGTCTGAACGCATCATCATGGCCCATGTTCTTATTAAAAACACTCAATGGAGCAGAAATGGCCCCAGCCCGAATCTTTCACAAGGTATCTGTTCCAAACATACAAACACACACAATAGGTTCAAAGTCAAGTTCATTGTTTTTGTTCAGATATTATTTTTAAATGTTCTGGTTATTTGATGCTAAAAGAAGCAAAGAGAATACGTTTGCCTTTCACATTTTTTGTCTGAAATGTTTCTCTTTCACTCATATTTCCCTGGATCTCTTTGGCCCTCCAGCAAGAGCCACCTGCCCCAGAGCGGAACTGTTTTGAGGTGGGGATGAAGCTGGAGGCGGTGGACAGGAAGAATCCTCACTTCATCTGTCCCGCCACAGTGGGCGCGCTGCGGGGTGTGGAGGTGCTGGTCACCTTTGACGGCTGGCGGGGCGCTTTTGATTACTACTGCCGCTACGATTCCAGAGACATCTTCCCCGTCAACTGGTGCACGCTCACTGGAGACAACCTGCAGCCGCCAGGCACTAAAGGTATGGATCACTTAGTACGAATTCAGGCTCTAGTATTCTGACAAGTGTTTGCATTCGCATTCATGCACAGAGAAGGATGGAATTAAGATGTTGAGGAACAAAAGACTTCATTTAAAGAGGCCAGTGCTAAATACACTCTGACAACTGTGAGAGTATTACCTGTGGTTTTAGAGATTGAATTAGGGATATAATGGAAAAGCACATTTATGCAATTTACACTACCATTCTAAACTTTTTGGGGTCCGTTTTTTTATAATAAAAATATGTAATACTTTTATTCAGCAAGGATGCATTACAATGATCAAAAGTCACTGTAAAACTTTTTACATTCTACATATTCTATTTCAATTAAATTTCGTTTTTTTTTTTTTACTTTCTATTAATCAAAGTATACTAAAATAAAATGTATCACAAAAGTTTCCATAAAAACATTAAGCAGCACAACTGTTTCAACATTGATAATAATAAGAAATGTTTCTTGAGCACTAATCAGCATATTAGCATGATTTCTGGAGCATCAAGTGACACTGAAGAGTGGAGTAATCTTTATTTCTGCCATCACAGAAATAAATTATATTTTAAAATATATTAAAATATGAATTGTAAAAATATATGTAACAATATTATGGCAAAAGTGTAAAAAACTTTTACAGTCTTACCTATGAGTTTGGGACTCGTACCTATTGTTGTCTTGTAAATGAGAGGGAGTTGAATCAGTGACATATTGGAAAATAACTATGCAATTTACATTATGTACAATTATGTTTGTAGCTAAGTCTACATTAAAATTGTCTGAATTATGAATTAAAAATTTTGGGTGACGTGTTCCTTTAAGCAATAAAGGCTTGAGAGAGAGAAAATCAGAGAGAACTTGAGAGTTTTGGTTTACAAGAGGTTGGCATCCACCCAGCTGGAACGGCTGCAAACCCTGTGCCCAATAGCTGGCCTCGCATTGAAGAGCTGGTGTGACTGTTTGAGTGGGATGAGCGAAGAGGGTTAAAGAGACAACGCAAGGCCAGTGAGTTTAGCAGAGGAGGAAAAACCTTGTCAGGCCTCTAAATTCAAACTAAACTTCACAGCTATTCCTGGTAAGCAAGTTGTTATGGTGTTTTATTTGTAAATGTCTTTATACTTGAAGGAAACTTGGAAAATGTGTAAACCTATCAGTCTGGGATAGAGCCAAAACAAACTCCACCGTTTTTGTGTATAAATGACTTTCAGGGTTAACAGTACTAGAAAGATGGTCGTCGTGTCGCTATGAGCAGACTTTAAAGCTTTAGAGAGAAGATCGAAACTAAAGGGCAGGAAGGAAGTGAATTGACTGAGAGAACAAGATGCCACAAATTGACACACTGCAAGATCAAGAGCAGACCCTAGTTCTGTGAGGTTGTGTAGTCTTCATTTCCCTGAGTTGGATGAGTGCAAACTGCAATCATGGCCTCACTAACAGGTCTGTAAAGCTCTGAAGTGTTTGTGTGCGTTTGCTCTCTTTTAGTTGAATTTGATCATTTGATTCTTCTGGTGTTTTTTGTGTGTTTTTCCCCACTCAATTTAAGTCTGATAAATCTTTAATGCGTGTAAAGTTTATAGACTTTTCAATCAGTTTTGCTTTTTTGGTTTTCAAGAATCTTAATTCACATGTTTGAATCTTTCTCTCATCATATTTCTTGAAATCTCTCTCCCTTCCTCCTTTCATGTTGTGCACTCTCTCGCATTTGTTTTCGTCTATGTAGCACTTCAGAGGCCACCAGCACCAAAAATGTGTAACACAACTCGTTTCTTTGTTAAAATGGCTCAAAGAAAAATGGGTCAGCTCTGCACACAAAGCCTGTCTCTCTTCATCTTCTGCCTATGTTTGTTGCTGCACGATGTGTTGTATTATCCAGTATGATCAGCATTTTCTTTTTCTCTTTTCTTTTCTTCCTTTTCTTTATTTTTTGCAGTTGGGTTACCGAAGACGCTAGGTGCACTTGGTGCCCTACCAGATGGTGGCATAGAGGGGACAGGCATGGCTCCTACGCCAGGCCGACCCCCACCCCAAAAGAAACGTAAGCCTGGCCGCAAGAAAACCAAACTATCCGGGCCCTGGGGTCAGAAAGGAACACTTGGTTCCCAGACAAGTCAGCTTGGAAAGGAACTGGAATCTATTAAAATCCCCAAAAAACGAGGCCCCAAACCAGGAAGCAAGGTATAAAAGTATTTATAAAAGAGTCATCATGATATGAAAAGTAGTCAAAAGTAAAGGTCTGTGAGATTGACAAAAAATATATCTAGATATCTTCTGGGATTTTGTCGATAACGATAATTAGACTATGTTTTGCTGAGTGTGTTATTGTTCTATTACCTTGGCAGGTTTAGGACTGCCATGGACAGCTGACTCCCAAAGCTTTTGATATTCTCTTATATTCTGTCCGGTGGACAATTCGCAACCGTGACAGAAATTAAATTTTCCTTTATCTTGTTTGCACATGATGTCACGTCACTGCGTTGCTGTGGCACAAAATGCAGATGGAGGGCAGGAAGCTATTTTTTAACATGGAAGCACTACCATAAACTCAAAATGCCTTTTTGCCTCAAAATGTTTTGCGTCGTTTATGGCCTTTAGTGGCGTTTTGCGTCTGCTTATACTGAAATTAACATGGATTACCTTTTTTGTTTTTGCACACAATGCTTGCTGTAAGTTTAAAAGGCCAATAATTTACATTTTGCAGAAGCTTTTATCCAAAGCTACTTACATTGCGTTTCAGGGTACACATTTAAATTCTTAGCAGTTCTTGCTTTCCCTGGAAATCAAACCCATGTCCTTGGCGTTGCAAGTGCCAACGCTCTACTGTTTGAGCTACAGGAAAGCTTTTAATTGATTGTGCTTTATGCGAATGAGATGCAAATTTAGATTAAAGGATTGAGTTGGTAATATTATTACAGTTTTCAGTGTATGGAATTGCTAGCAAAATATTTTAAATGAAAGTTTGAATATGTTGTATTTTTACGTTGTCTTCTAGCTAAGCTGGGCCAAAAGGACAGCGTGGCTTGAAGGAGCGATTGGAGGACCTGGTAGACCTATCAGCAAACCCAGAGGCAAACTGCCAGCCAGCTGGGCCCAGAAAGTGCAGCAGAACCCAACAGAACCCATCAAGATTCCAAAAAAGAGAGGCCCCAAACCTGGCAGCAAGGTGCGACTTAGTCTGCTAACGAATCGAAAACTATAAGGCAATGTTATTTATGCAGATTTCTCCTGACTGTGCTTATTTCTTTGTATACAGAGAAAGCCCCGATTGGTACCCAATCCTATGCCCACCTCCCCAAGCAGTAGCACTCCAGAGCCCGACACCAGCTCAGTTCCACTGGACCACGCCACCATTCCCAGCGCCGCCCTACAGGCCCCTACAGGTACCGCAAGTGTCTTAAATATTTGAAAGTTTACCGTGGTAAAGAAGTTTTCAGTCCTTGTTGCATACTGTCTTTCCTAACAACTTCCTTGTGTCTCAGTATGTGTGTACTTGAATAAGTATGGAAAAGTAGGTCCCCATCTGGATGCACGGCGTATCCAGTCCCTGCCAGATCACTTTGGGCCTGGCCGAGCTTCATCTGTGCTGCAGCAGTGTGTTCAGGCCTGTGTTGACTGTGCACATAACGAGAGCATAGTCTTCTCCTGCCTCAAACCAGGTCATGGAGGAGAGCTCATATCAGGTAAGCACAGACCCACAAAGCTAATAGAAATTAACTAAGAGCCTCTAAAGTCCTATTTTGACTTCTTGTTAGGGCAGAATGTTTCTAATTTAGAATTTTCTGATAAAAATTGTGATTGCAATTTAAAATGCAATAAAATAAAGCTCCTGGTTTGCTGCACAATTTGTGATTATATATGAATGTGACAATAATAGCAATATTTTATGATTTATATTGTTACTAAATAAAATAGTAAACAAAATAATAAATATGTTTTATTTTACAGTACTAATATTTATGGGTTCTTAATTTCTTAATTTTCAAATGTTAAACCATCAAGCTTTATTTTGGGGTAAAACTGTAGCTTCGCATCACAATTTGTTAAATATGGTTGACGCATGTTGCTTTCCCAAAATCACATTATAAAAAAAAAAAAAAAATCCGAGCACATGCAGGAGCAGCATTTACTGTGAACCAAGCCCCACTGAAAAAACCCCACAGTGCTGCACTTCACTCTGAAACATGCAGTACATATTTATCTAATAAAATCGCAGCATTTGCATTTGATAAGCACACTAAGCCATATTGCGATTTCAGTTTTATTTAAATCAATCTTGCAGCCAAACTAAAGTTAAGAGATCATAGACTAATAATAACCACAGAATTTTGCCCATTTGACTCTTACAGCCTACTTTGAGCAGCAGCACCACACTCTAACACTGCCGGCAGTGAACAGTGTGACGTATCTGCTGCGCTTCCTGGAGAAACTCTGTCACAACCTGCACTGCGACCCATTGTTCGGCAATCAGCCCGTCCCTCTGGGAGGAGTTCACTATGACAGCCGGACATACACTGGTCAGCGCTCATGCGTGCAAACATTACCATCTTTGTGCCTTTTTGATCTTACAGTTGTGTAGACTTAAAAAGAGGGCCTTGTATATGTTGTAGAGAGGAGAAACTTTGCAGAAAGTCTGAGTTCTGGACCTGGTCGAGGCACTAAGAGATTCCTTCAGCATGACGCCTACCATAGCAATCCTGTACCGCACAAAATAGCTAAAAACCACCGTATCTCCTCAGAAGGTATTTCACACTGTTCCACTGCTAAAACAGCATTTGCAGTTTTTCTCCATCGCTTTGGAACATTTCCAACCTTTCTTAACATTCTCTAAACTCAAAGTGCAATTGTCACAACTGTTTGCTGGAACATCAGAACTCTATTGCATGTCTATAAAATGTAGTAAAACTCACCCAAAACATTTAATTAATTTATCAAAACCTAGTTATTGTCAAGAAATTGGCATATGCCACCAAAATAAAAAGTGTTTTTCTCATCACGTGAGCCACACTGGTGTTTAGTTTTTCAGTCGGCACACTGACTGCTTTCTATATACTACACAAGAATATCTGTTTTGTCTTGCTCTTGTGTATCACACTGAGCTTTCTAGATACAGATTTCAACAGTAGATAAAACTTTACAGGGAAAAGTCAATATTGTAGTACAAAAAAAGAAAAGGAACATTTTTAGATACGTATTTATACAGTGCATTTATTTTTGTTAAAATGTGTTAAATGTAAACACGTAAACTTAGTTGTATGCACACTTATGTCTTGTCCTAACACCACCACCACCATACATTCTTACATACTCTTCCACAACAAGCAACTGTGAATTTTTCAGTTTACATGTAACACATTTCTACAAAAATAAATGTACTGTATTTATACAGTACTGCTGTAGCTGCTGCGGTTTAGGGTTGTGACATTCCTCCCATGTTCAAAAATGGTAGTGATTGTGCTGGGCAAACTCCATATATATGATTCCAAACTTGATTGCATGTGATTTCCCGTTTCATTAAAATGGCTGGCCATTTGCCAATTTAACAGATATTACAAACATTCCATGTCAGATATTTATGGAATATACTTGCATGTCTGACAGATTTTGATAATTGAATTGATAATATTGTCTCACACGATGAAAGAATCTTTAGAAGTTGAAGAGTTTGACAATTTTACTGAGAATCAACTCATCAGTTGCAAATTGTAGACAATCATACTTACTCTTTTGCGAACACGTGCCAAAACATGCCATTTGCTTAAATCAATAAGAAGTTCAAATCTGATGTGAACAAGAAACCAATTGTTCAGAGATCTGAACTTATTTTTTGAGAGAAAAAAATTCTGATTTGAGAATTGATCCAAAGCGACCAAGAAAAACTGTATCAGTAAACTCTGTGTTATGGCCTTTTCTAAGTGTTAAATGGTGTGTGCTTGTGCATTTTTGCGCTTGATCAGAACCCTTCCTGATAGAGAATGGGGTTGGCGGCTCGGAGGTCTTGGAGAAAACACATCTGTCTCCCGGACATGGCTTGTCAGTGCGTCCCCTCTCTCAGAATAGCAGCTCACCGGGGAAACTACATCGTCTGGGCTCAACAGGTACACAAACTAGCCCACCGTTGAAGATCATTTGCATGGACTTCAAATCTAATTTAAACCCGGAAAGTTATATTTCTGCACTATTTCTAGGTTACTAATCAAATGTAAGCAGATTTGTGACGTTGACTCCTCTGTACAAAAAGTCTGACTTTCTGGATGGTTTACGTAGACTTGTGTAGAGTGCTGCTGTTAGCAAAAACAGGACAAGTATTAATATTTCAATCCAGTCGTGGTTTCAGACTTTTGGACCCCACTGTAAACCTTATTCGGGAATGCAATTATGTGAGCAAATTATGGACTTCAAAATCTCAGAAGATCTTGATTTTTCACTGATTTGTCTTCTGACTGCTTCCCAGGTTCCGACCGCTTTCTGAGCTCGAGAGAAAGCCCGCGACCCAGTGGACAGGACCCCAACCTGTGGACGGTGGAGGACGTCATGCAGTTCATCAGAGACATCGACCCTCAGCTCGGACCACACGCAGACCTCTTCCGCAAACATGTAAGTGAAGAAAGTCTTGAATTCAGTTTGATCAAATTCAAGGTCATCAAACGTCCTAAATTTCTTAAAGTCCCTGTAAAGTCAAAATTTTGTTTGTGTTCTGAGTTTGTCACACCACAGAAAAATGTGTTATTAGCCACCCTGCCAAATTTGAATGATAAAAAAAGCCAGCAAGTACATAAAATAAGCTATCAAAATCTTGAAAAAATGAGCAGTATTCTCTGCTCTCAAACGCTGGGGGCGTGTCCGCTGGCTGTGCTGAAACCACACCCACTCGCGGGAAAGCTGCCGTCGCCACACTCAACTCTACAGCCGAAATGGATGCTCGCACGGTGGGCACGCACTGCCGATGATGGCACCAGTTGTCGGCGCGACGGGAGGATGAATGCCGAGGCGGAAGATAGTCGGTTCGGCCCCATTCACCAGTAACAGCGGATTATCAGTGAATGTCTCAGTTGTCTCCGACGAAAGTTTATAAAACTATCCTGTGTAAAATGATCACTTACAGAGGCGGGTTTTGGCAGTGATCCTCAGCTCTCCATCAAGGTTGGCTCTTCACAAAATGAATCCACTTCTTCTTGATGTAATCATTTTTGGGAAATTTAAATAAGGACACCGATCTGTTTTGTATGTGATCCGGTGATCGCATCCAGGTAGTAGCCTACGCATTTCCGTGTCGAAGGCATAGCTAGCTAGAAAACTGTAGGCTGCTGTAGTATCTAATAGTACTGACCGTAACTCACGATTGAGCACCAAAACTGATGTGAATGTGCTCTATATTGTTAGGGGAGCGGACAGCCTCAATGGCCTCAGTGCGTCATCAAGTAGGGGCGTGTCCAGGAGCTCAGGGGCTCCAGTGCGTCATCGAGCCCCGTTTTAGCCCTGCCCAAAAAATCCGGAAAATTAGCAATGGTGAAAAACTGTTTAACGGTCTAACTCCACAATTCAGTACTTCACAGTTCACAGTCTTTGTAATATGTTTTAGCAATACATTTCTAACATTTATAATGTGTTTAGAATTTTTTTTTAAAATTGGCTTTACAGGGACTTTAAGCGGTATATCACGTCTTTATAATTTTAAGAGGTCTTACATTTTGGGACAGAAAACCAAAAATCCCTGTACAGCCTAATGTGATTTCTTAAACTTCAAAAGGCGATCATTTATTTTAAAGTAATTTGACCGCCGCACATTCAAAGTCAAAATGCTGTGCTTTTGCGTGTCCGGAGCAGTTTGCAATCAATGAATACCACATATTTAGGCCAAGCGATTGCTTATGATTAGGGATGCACAATATATCAGACACCATATTAGTATCTGTCGATATATGTTCATTTTTAATGTTATCTTCCGATAAGAAAATTTGCCCGATATATTAAAGCTGATAAATAATGTATTATTTCCTTCAGCTGAGACACTACAGATAGCTTTGAATAGCTTGAAAAGGAAAATACAGTTAAGTGCCACATGTGCAGCACAAGTCTGTATATAGGTTACATCAAATTATAATGAGAACACTAGTGTAAAAGAATGTTTTGAATTCTTTGTGTGTCCGTGTTTTAGCGCGTTGTTAAGGGCACAGTTTACTGGCACAAATAGACATTTATAACTATGATTGGGACTTTCATATTACATAACATTATAAAGAGAACAGTATTGTATAAAACGTTGTGAATTCTTTGGGTTTAGTTGCCGTGTTTCAGGGCGTTGTTACAGGAAGAGTGCATCCACAACAGGAGTTACACATTCTGACTAGCACATAACTTAGTTTAAGTTAACTTGTGCATTTGTGTCGTTTTGTGCAGATATAAGTTGTGATATTATGTTTATGTTGTATAAATAGGATTATTCTCATATATGATGCGTTTCGTTGAGTTAATTAACCCTCAAACAGAGCGCTTCAGTTTACCGTTGTTCATTCAGCTCTTCAGCGCACAGCTCAAACAGCAATGATGTTATTTGAAAAAGTACTATTCATTTTAGATGTTTCTTTTTCAAAAACATGAATGCATTTTTAATACTAATAACTAGCACTTTTATTTGCTCGTATTATTTTCATAAACAATATGGTTTAATTAAAATAATTTCATTATTGTCCGTGCGGAGGCTGTATAGAATATGAACGATATTCTGTCTTTTTGTTTGTGCAATAAAATGCTAAACATTGTCTTGTCTGGTGATACTCTTCTGTTACAGGAAATTGATGGCAAAGCTCTCCTCCTCCTCCGCAGTGACGTCATGATGAAATACATGGGGCTGAAGTTGGGTCCCGCTCTTAAACTCACCTTCCACATTGACAGACTGAAACAGGGTCGTTGACCTTAATGGCACTTGATTGGGTTTCTCTCTGATCCTCAACCCTTTACCCCTTCCAAGCACATTTCAAGATGCACTGCATGCTGGGTTCCTTACGCCCCCCAGTACTGTTGCAGGTGTGGGCAAGCTTTCGAGCTCCGCCCATCTCTTTTCCCTCCCCTTTGTTCGATACTCCCTTTCTCCTGGTTTAAATACATTCTGTTATTAATTATAGCACTGTCATGGCCGTTTTTATGACGGATATCCTCACGGTTGTTCTCACGTTACATTCGCGGTTGTTTTTGTTCCCGTTCCGGAACATTTCACATGTTTAGACTTGACTGAAGCAGTGAAGTGGACAGTATACAGGCCATTTTTAGGCCTTGATTTTTATGATATACGTTTAATTGTATATTTTTTTCACCCTACATCAATTAGGGTGTTTTGTATGGGTTTTTTATACAAGACTGATTTTCTTCAATTAACTCCAGATAAACACTAGATCCCCCATCATGCCAGGGATCCGTCCGGACTGACACCTCAGAGACCATTACTGAACCTCCATACTTTATACATAGCAGATTTAGGAATTAAGATGCGGTCACACTAGACTTTTGAGCATGTCAAATTACTTCAGAACAAATATGGGCAACATTAAATGATGTCACTCTCTATGTCATCTGTTTGAATCAATTGTAAATGACAAATAACAAAACATTAAAATTGTTATATTATCTAGTCCACTTTGCGGGAACCCTGCAAGCAGTACAGCTTTGAAGTCTCTATTCTTTCCATTGCATTGAGCCAAAAGGTCAATCTGTGACATTTAGATACGTTAGTTAAATGTGTTTTTGCTATACCAATTGTCAGTTCAAAACAAAGCGCAAGAGTTCTTAATATATACTTGCATTCACGCGTTCAGATGCGTATGAAAGGAAGTCTAGTGTGACTGGACCTTTACTGCTATTATACACTCTGCCTGTATTTTATATTGTGTTGATGTTTACATTGTCATTCTTGTTTGTACTTTTTATACAATATGGTAGAGTGCATATGTTGACAGCGGTATTCTCCGTAAGTTCAAATAAAAATACGGAGCTTTTCCTCAGTTTCTTTTGTCTTTTTTGCCTCAGATCTCAGAGTAATGATGTGTGGTTAGTTTCTATGGAGTACATACTATGTTTATATTATATGTTGTGGGACACTGTACAAATTAATTCTATGACACTTGTATACTTAACCTAAAAGGAACTTTGCATGAAAAGTAGCTAGTTCACACATTGCATATCTTAACCCATTGGAAAGTAGAAAAGCGGCTTTATTAGGACCTTACACTTGTTCAAAAAGAGCAAAAACTTAATTGTTTAAGAGTTTGTTGAAAGTGTTGTGTACTACTGTATATGTGTATGATGCTGGTTCACAACCTTTATCAACCACAGGGGGGCAGAACAGCCCTTTTCTGTTTCTGTTGTTCTATTTTTAAGCATTCTGGCTGAAGAGCATATACCAGTCTCCAAATGGTACAATTTTAGGAGGATACTATTTATGTTCTTAAACAGTCTTAAAGAGATTTATTATAAAATATACAATAATTTGTTTCACCCATGTGAACGTCATGTTTGGTTAGTAAAGTTATAATATAGCAAACCAAAATTAAAGCAACAGTTGTCAAGAATTACTCCATTTCTGTGTACCACAGCACATAGTGAAAGTGCTTGTGGCGGTTTTCACTGACAGACATCGGTGCACTATACGTGCCGAGTGGAGGGGATGTCACATACTGTAAATCTTACCACATTATCAAAAAAACAGGAAGGCGCCTTTCAGAGTGCAACAAGTTGACCAAATACCTCAGTTAGAGTCAGTATGTGTGCTACAATACATGAATACAGTGCGAATAACAGAGTCATGTGACTTACAAATCCCTCTAGTTTGTAGTGTGGAAACCCCCTCTCTATCATACTGGCTGTGCCAACATGCTATAGAAACATTTTGGAGTTTCAGTGTGCTGTCTGCGTGATTACAACTGGTCCAGACTTTAGTCAGACCTAATGTGTTTGCATCATATCTTCAAAACTCTGTGTACTTTGATTAAATGTGCTGGAGTGTTCTGTACCCTCCAAAAAAAAACCTGGTTTTACTCAGGCTGTGCTATCTAGATGTCATTAAGGTCTTATTTCAATGAATATATTATGGAGAAATGGAGTTTAACTGTAAGCAAACACCCACCTTGCCATTAATCATTAAGTGTTTTACATAGTCTACTTTCAAAACTGATTTCTTATATCATCAAATATCTTAAAAAATATATATATATATTCCATGTTCATGACTCTCTGATACTAGCATGTTGCTAACTGCAACATTCTATTAAGCAATACAAAATTTACTGAAATATTAATTTAAATTTAATTTGTTATCAGTACTAAATGAATTGTAATCTACATTTCTCTCACCTCATCCACCATTTCACTGCATTCTGGGATTGCTTTCTTTGTGAAGGATCCATGTGAGATATCTTGGGAAGCAGCATAATTAGCCTTTGTGTCTAGAATGCTTTAAAGTCCACCTTACTAGGTTTTGGAACAGATCAATGTTTAAATGTGAAAAGGGTGTGATTTCTATGCCATTCACGCCCCATAACAGAATTGCTAAATAAAAGACTTTTTCCAAACAGTTTCCTGAACACTCCCCATTCTTCATTGGTCGGACAAAACAGGTAGCCCTACCCCAAACTCACACCATTGGTTGAGCCACTGTTGCTATGTTGGGCTGGTCAGAGAATTTCCATTTAATTTCGACTTCAGTAACCAAACAATTGCACTTTGTGCAATAAATTCTTGTAGCTATACTTTGGAAATGGTATGAATTGTAATGTTTATCCCATAGACTTCCATTGAAAGTGCTTGACTTCACTGCAAATGTGTGTTTTTTTTATCAAATCGACAGACAAGTCGAAATTCTTTTCTGTGGCCTCTTAATTTGTATTGAACCCAATACATTCCTTGAAAATCTCATATCAACTCCACAAAGGACCGTCAAGATGTGTCAAGAAACATGTAAATTCAAACTGATTTTCAGTGTTTGCGATCACAGCAAGTATATTTAGAATTCAAGAGCATCCAGCAAACTCAGTGGTATCTAATCGGAAGAGCAGACAGGTGCTCTCTCAGCCAGACATGCTACAAATATAAAAATGTGTCTGTCATACTCCTAGAATATTCTGAATGCTTAGAGCGCTGACACACTGTTGTGTGCCAGAGGGTGCTGGGTTAGTTTCTACCATCTGTGATATGGGTTTTGACCACTTCCAGCCCCCACTCAACGTTTTTACAGCTTTATAGCTCACCTATAGTGCTGTTGCGCATCTTAGAAACCATGTTGCTCACTGATGTTTCGGAAATGTTGTTTGGTCGTACGTCATTTATCAGCGTGATAGTAATCTCTAGCGGGCAATTTGAAAACCCACATGGCCTTCTCAGTCTGCTACTTCTCGACCTGCCAAAACAGTATGCTTGTGATTCTGCCACAGTGCTCTGGAAACATTCGGAGCACACACTTGGATGACCTCACCTGGATAGCTCGTGTTCAGTGGGGTCCATCTGCCCATTGGTCGTTTATGTTAAAGCCTGATGGTCTCAGAGCTGGGGGATAACGGTGGTTGAGAACTCGCCGATAAGATTAACACACAAGAGCTTAAAGGGTAACTCAACCCCTGGTCAGAGCCTGACTCCACCCACTGGCAATATTTGAAAAATGCTGGAAAAGTGGGCAGAGCCCAGCGGAGCGGACCTGCGTCTCTCTGTAGGCAAGGGCGTGGTGAGCTGGTACCTGCTTACATCATGCAGTACCACAACATCCAATAGGAAAATTCAATTGCAGTAGCCACCATTCAACCTGAAGAGGGCAGCACTCAGACATGTTTACACCATATATTGTAGAATTAAAACACTTTATACCCAAATGTCAAAAAATTTACTCGAATCAATGAACACCATTAATAAAGCCCCAGTCTTACAGATCATTAACTAAAAAAAGTTGTTTTAGGGTTTAGTTACCCTTTAAACCCACCCCTACATACACACACATGCACGCACAACACTGAACAAACAACAAACAGTGCCACTCCTACATCAGCTTGTTGAAGCTGGCCTGGCTGAGAGGTACGCTTCACACAGGAAAATGAATAATTTACACAGTGCCCTTAACTTCAAAAGCCCAAGGCAATAAACAGTGGAAGGGGAGGGGAACGATGGGTGCAGAGAGCAGAGAAATCTCCAGCGATTTTAGCTGTCAAACACTCTCGGTGCCACGGCCTGCCTAAACATGTGTGGCATCATCATTTGCACATATATAATTAAGATATTAATATGTGTGAAGACCTGTGATGGATCAGACCATAAAGGTGGTTATGGTAGCTCTCTAAGTAACTAGGTCTAGCTGAAGCATATCCAGCTTTATCAAATTAGGATTGCTAGCTGGCAGTCAGGCGAAACAAGAGCAGGAAGTGTGGTCCATCACAATCAATTTCTTGCATACATTCACACATGAATGGTAAGTGTGTGTGTGTGTGTGTGTGTATGTGTGTAAGTGTGTGTGTGTGTGTGTGTTTGGGGGGGGGGGGGGGGGTGCAAAACCAATTGAACTCTGAAAAACATGTTATTATTTGAAAGACGGTCAGTTGACAGAAGGGAAAACATGTTGATGCGTGTCCCACCCATCTCTCTTTTCCTGTATTTCTCTTTGTGATATGGTGATCTGAAGCTAGGCTCATTAGATCACATGAATATAAAGAATCTGAATGGTTTTTGCAGCCTGGTGCTATAAAATAACCTTTTAAAGTTCTGTGGTTCTTCAGAAAACCTGTTTCAGATAACATTCACTTTTCTCTGTTAACAGATGATAACTTGCACTAATATGCTGAATGTAACCTTGAGAACTTTTTCTAAATCCAATTAGGAACTCCAGAAAAACAAAAAGAAGTTAAGGGGAAAGTTCACAGAAAAATTAAACGTCTGTCATCATTTACTTATGTCCTTTCAAATCTGTATTTTTTTTTTTTCTTTCTTCTGTGGGACACAAAAGAAGATATTTTGATAATTAAAAACCAAATCTGTTTGGCTACCAACATTCTTCATAATCTTCTGGAAGGAAGAATAGGCCTACAGTTGTACAGGAGGGTGAGTACTAAATGATGACAGAATTTTGGGTGAACTATATTTACATTTAATCATTTAGCAGCCGCTTTAATCTAACGCGACTTGAACTATCCATTTAAGGTCCTATATAGCACTTTCAAAGCATGGTTCTTTATGGAACCTTATAAAAAGGGTTCTGCTATTGTTACAAGCCGAAGAACCCTAATTTGGTACTGTTTAGAACCATTTTTCTTAAGAGTGTAGCTTTTAGTGAATATGTTAGCCTTAAGGTTGTGAATTAGCTGGTCTGTTCCAAAACAATAAAAAAAATTGCATTTAGGAGATATAACCATTTAAAACTTACAGATTCTCACTTCCGCTAAAATAGATCACAGATTTTTATGACATCACCGCGGACTTCAGCTTCTCATCACATCTTCTGTCCAATCAAATGCTCTCTAGAATCTAAAGCGCTCCCTGCTATAAATACCACCTGGCCAAAGCGAGCGTTGACATGTCATGGAGCAATATGAGTTGGTTCGGTTCGGTTCCTCAAACGCTCAAGTTTTATTCCATTTTATTCCAAGAGTGAAATGGCTAGAATTTATTCACACCTCTACTATTGAATCCAACGTATCATCAGCACTCGGATTCGCTTCCATGGTGCTGTCAAGTACGACTTGCAGTCTGTGAGGTAAACTAAATGCTATTGGCTATTTGAAAAGGGGGTGGAGCCATTCAATATGTCCGCCTTAGCTTCCTGTTTCAGAGGAAATTACGTCAGCGCATCGTACAAAGCTGTGTGTATACCAAGGCACTTCAATTGGCCTTTAAGGAAGTGTGTTATAAACGATAACGCCAAGTGGAACCGCAAAGGATATATCTGTGCATATGAGTCCCATGCCACGTCAAAGATATTCAAAATAAAAGTTCTAAACTTAAACAAACTAGTTCGTTGGTGAGCATAACTTGTATTTGGATGTCTTCTAAGCCTTTGCACGCAAATATGAACACACAGAATTACTGACGATTTCTGATGAATCAACTGAATGAACTCACTGAATCTGTCAGATCGGCTACCACATTCAGCTGCTGACTACTCATTAACTGACCTGTAAAGCATTGCATAGCGTCATTTCTTCAATTACTGTTTGATGTAACCATTAGGCTGCTCTTGCTGTGCTGTCAGATGTCGTTTGCAGATATTTTAAAACAATGTCTCACTATATTTTGTTCTTGGAACAACATATCATAGAAAAAGAATTGAATTAGTAAACACCTTAGCCACAAACTGTTGTCAGGAAAGCCCTGTGTAAGAAAGAGAGATTGCTGACTCTGTGATATGCTGTAAGAGGGGGTGGTCTTCAGGATCCCTCTACTGGGTAAAACCCTAAAGAATTTCCCACACTACCCATCTCAATTTCAGTAAGTGTTTTTTATTTTATTTTAAACAAGACATTTCTTGTTTTACGACCTTGTCATTTGTTCATTCTAGTGAATCGGTTGTTCAGAGAGCTCACTCAGAAAGAACAGTAGGTGTGTGTTCGTGTGTGTGTGTTTAGAGATTATTGTGGGTGGCCTCAGAGAGAGAGAGACAGCAAAAAAACAGTCAACAGTAAATGTCTCCTGTCACACCCTGCTTAGCGTATGTCTAGTCTGGTTTCTCAGAGGTGGATTTACACCAAGTGTTTGACAAAATATGATGGCGTAATACTAAAAGGATTTAGCATTCCAAGTATTTTTCAAAAACATTAGAAGTTAATTATGATAAATTGCTGTTCCGTCACGTTTTTCTCTGTGCAAAACAATCCGCTAAGAACTGAAAGTAATAATCGGTCACACCCAGTTCCTAACAGACGGATAAGTGGTGCCATCTTGGGCCTGGCCGAGGACGCCCAGAGATGTTGCTATACGGTTCTTTCACACATTAGCTGCATGTTCCATCACCTAAAAAAGTAGCCACACACACCTTCCCTCTCCCTCTTGTGCTCATACACCTATATTTATCTTTTTAAATTGTAAAGTTCACAAAGACAAGCTGAATTCCCCAGAGAAGAGGTGAGATTAGAAACATCTTTGAACTGAAAACCCCCACCGTTCAAAAGCATGCAGTAGAGTTTCTTTTGAACTGTTTCTGTCTATAAATGTTGGATTAAATGTCACTTGGCACATGTTACCCTTACAACTTGTTTACATTGTACTCATGTACAGTACAAGCATCATAACAGGCCATTCTACGAAACAGGTGCCCGTTTTAAGTGTTTCAAAAAGGCTTTAAACATTCCGACATAGAAAATGTTTTTAAGTCTTAATAAAATAAAAGAGAAACAATAAATATGTGCAGTACCATTCAAAAGTTTAGGCTTTCTTTGTTTTTGAAAGAAGTCTGTTATGTAGATCTAAAGGCTCAAGAGAAATCAGACATGAAAAATTACATCCTGAATGAGAATCTGTACTTTTTCAGTCTGAACACACTACAGGTTAATCCACAGGCACAATATTAGGCATCTAATTTTGCTGCTAACTGGTCCAGGACTATAGGCACAACGGATTCACATCAAGATCATCGACTAAAGGAAAGACCATCTAAGGAAAAGGGCAACACAAGAACAAGTCAGAGACTAAAAAACAGTGTAGTTTTTGAAAATAAACAGGGTGGAGCCAACACTGAAGCACTCCAATTGTGTCTGTTAGTTCAATCCTGGCAATTTACCTTCCACAGGCATTCGTAGATTGTATTATTAAGGCTTATTTTGATACCACAGCAATCAAAGAGGAACCCAATACAAGTGCTACTACCAAGTAACCTCAATTGACTTTCTTCGAGCCCTTCCTCCGCCGAGGAGGAACAGGAAGTGACAGTGGAGCGTTAACGGCTTGTCATTGCAATCTTCACCCTTCCCCCCCGCCCGAACCCCCTCACCACAGCATGTCCGTAAATGGACAACATTTTGCCCTCCATTCTCAGGACAAAATGCACAGACCCAGGGTTCACACAAAGCCTTGTAATGTCATGGTAAGCACAGATTAACCTGGACAGTTTCCACTGCCTACCCCATACACACCTTTACATCTGAAAGTAGGTAAAAAGTTCTTGCTTGAAAAGCAGACAGATAAAAATAAAAAATAAAGACCTAAAAGCACACACAAATGGAGAAAGAAGCTATTTGAGAGAAGTTCAACCACTTATACGAAGCATGAAACTAGTTCATAGTTTTAAACCAAAAAAGGTTGGTAAGTGGAACCTGTGGTGCACCAACGATTCTTAGAACTGTCGCCAATCTAGACAACAGCTCTTAAACGAGAGTCATAGCCACGGTTTATCATTTTTGCAAATTTCAGTTTTAACAGTTAAAGGGATAGTTAACTGACCTTCATGCTTTTACAAACCTTAATAACTTCCAGAACAGAAAAGACAGTTTGAAGGATGTTTTTGTCCTTACAATGAAATTCAATGGGGTCTAAAACAACATTGGACATGTTAAACCAGATTAAGCTAATCCAAGTTTTATATTCTGTAACTTTTCCATTTGCTGTACATATACCTTCCTTAGAATCTTTCACGCGCCCCTTTTCATTTCCACAAATAAGATAAGAGATTGATGAAAAATTAGGCCAGAGTTAAAACATGGCCATCTTTATTACAAGTCACACATAGGTTTGAGCCCTCCTGGACTGTTCGGGGTGGGAGACAAATAAATAAAAGCAACTTGATTTAAGGCAATTCTAAAGCTTAGACAGACCATTGTATCAAGACAGGCATTAACCACTATTGTAAACAAGCTGTGGTTCGGGTTTACTGAAACTTTACCATCCAACAAAACATTAGACTTACAGTTTGAGTCAGATGGACAAATTTCTGGGTCTAAATGAGCATAAACAACAATTCAGCAAATCCCATTCTGGAAGTTTCCATAAACCACAGGCTCTTAATGTCATGGCTGTTCTTTTGTTCTATGTTAATACATCTGATAAGCAATAAATAAATACATTTTTAAATGTAAAACTGCATTGAAGACTAATAAGGTTTGAGTGTCTTTACATTGCACCAAGTTCACAGTTCTGAAGCGTTGTTACATTCATCCACGGAACGCTGCCCAGCATTCCAGCCAGAAACAGAACTGTAGTCCTGACAGGAGCTTTACCACCCGTTTCTGTGGACAAAGCGGCATCTGATCACCTCTTGTCTTGGTGATGGCAGTCACAAAAAAATAAAAATAATCAAAAGAGCAACTTTCTCTCGCCTCCAATTGTCCATACGGTCCGGTCTCAGCAGCTAACGGTGCTTGGCTGTTGTTTGCTCACAAAGTCTGAGATAAAGTCAAACTCATTCTGTCCCAGGAAAAGTTCAGGGAGTTCCTGCACCCTGTCCAATCCTAGCTCCATAACCAGCGATGTCAAAACCTCTTCGTCGATCAAATCTGCGTCCATGCCGTTGAGACTGAGAGCCGGGCCGGCCATATGCTGCATGTTGCTCAGCTGGGCCTGACCCATGCGGAACTGTGCCCCGTTCCCCATGTGGTTGCCGTTCATGTGTCCCAGCGGGTGTCCATGGTACTGCGTGTTGAGTTTCTGAAGGTGCATGCTGGCCATGAGCTGTTGGGAAGTGAGACCCCCGGTCATGTACTGTTGTTGTTGTTGTTGCTGCTGCTGCTGCTGTGGTGGAGGCGGTTGCTGCTGTGCCTGGTGCATGTGGTGGTGCTGCTGTTGATGCTGCTGATGTTGATGCTGCTGTTGGTGCTGCTGCTGAACATGATGTTGCTGCTGCTGGCCCTGGTTGTTGTACATCATGTTCGACTGCATTTGGTGGTGACCCATCTGTCCATTCATAGGCCCCACCATGTTGGCCCGCTGGCGCATGGCGGCCTCCATGTTTCCCTGAGGCCCCGCTCCATAGTGCATCATCTGTCCGTTGGGCATGGCTCTCAGGCCGGGCTGGGGCGCGTGCTGCTGAGGGCCTGCCTGCAGGCCTCCATTCATGCCCATCCGGTAGCCATGCAGACCCCCATTTCCCTGGCCGTGGTTCATGGGCATCATCATGTGCTCTGCCATAGAGTTTCCTTTTATTAAAACAGATAAGATTAGACTTAGAATTGAAGTGGTGACAACAGAAAGAAGCCATTTTACGCTCAACCAAATCGATACAAGTAAATATATGCAGTTTAATTAGCCACATAATTGTCAACATTCAGCCTCTTATTGGACAGGTAGGAGAGGTGTTTGACTTTTTTTTTAACCCTCCAGCCCACCTGACTACCCACTCAACACTACAACCTCTTAAGATCCAATGGTGCACATCCAAACAACACTTTTGAAATTGACTGGGGTATTAGTCTCCTCCGTTCTAAACCGTCCACACACATAGTCTTTGCTATTTGCCATCTAAATAAATGCGAAGTATTTTTAAACACTGGATCTAAACAATGAGGATAACTGAAAATGCAATTTAATAAAACCATTAGTTTTGTTTGAAGAAGAACAAATAAACGCCGATTCTATATTACAACCCTGTACTTTACACAAAGAAAATCAAAGAAAGCAAAGCATAAATCCAAAGAAAGTCACCGTGCAGTCAAGCAAACAATGGATCTGCCACCCTGAGCTCTAAAGCATTGGCGGTGTCTCAAAATCAAGCGAGCTTCCTAGCTAGACAGCATTTTGGGCACCACGGTCGCGTGCAAACGCTGCACGCGCTTTTGACGACTAAAATGCTTTCTAGATAGGCAGCATGTGTTTTAAGACACAATCCGTGAGTTTCTCAAGCGTTTTGAATCTCTTACCCCGTGTTCTATGATCAGTGACTCCGCCGCGACAGGACAATTGAGCTTTATCTGTTCAAAAGCCTCTGAAGATTTATACTTTATATTCCACAAGGTGAAGCTTCATACTCCAACGGACCGACACACAAAAGAACGCTGCTCACTATCTTCAAACGAGTGTGTGTTTTCTGGGTCAACTCCACGGGCTTATATACATGAGAAAAGCGAAGAGGTGGAGCTATCGTTCACTCTCTATCCTTTGTTGCCATTGGCCCTGCTGCTTAATATCAGTGTGCAAAGAAACCCCTAGCGGTTTCTGTCAAACACTGGCCAATTTCTGTCCACAGATTTGGGTTGTTTTTCTGTTTCTGATTTATAGTGAAGAGGAAATCCCTTCAGAAGAAGTTGATCTGTGTGATGTTAAGTAAAGCTAGATAGAGGAGACTATAGATAGATAGATAGATAGATAGATAGATAGATAGATAGATAGATAGATAGATAGATAGATAGATAGATAGATAGATAGATAGATAGATAGATAGATAGATAGATAGATAGATAGATAGATAGATAGATAGATAGATAGATCTTGAAGCTGAATATATGATGAGTGTGAGTGTGTATGCATTTTATGTATATTATGTTGCAATGCAATTAAAGCTTCTTGCATCTGATAAACATCTGGCATGCACACATGAATTTTGGACTAATAATCTTATTGTTTATCTGTAAAAGTCCTTACATGTCGTTCTCCAGAGCTGTTTTTGTTATGGTCGGTGTGAGTGCTTATACATTAGTGTGAGTGTGTGTGATCTGGCGGCTCTGTGGCAGTCCATGTGACCCAGCGCTCTGCTGTGCCGTGTGCTGGGTGAGAGAGAGGGGAGGGGAAAGGAATGCTGGTGCTATTCTGGGCCACCGGCTGAAGTAGTGGTGGTGGTGAGCATGCAGGCCTGGGCTGCATGCGTAATTTATTGGAAGTTACAGATCACAAGGTTAATGGTGGGACCGCTTCCTACCTGTTCGGTTCTGAGGATCTTAATGAAGATACTGTAATGTAGCAAGACCCAAACTAGGCCCTGGTCACTTGCTCCAAAAACAACAACACTGGGCTTGTCTGTTTGGGAGAACAGGGAATCAACATCCTCTGTTTGGTCACAATAGCTCTCTGTTTACCCAGAGGTCAACACTGGTCAGAGCAGAACCTCACACCTCTAAAGAGCATTATCTCTTGACAAATTAACATCTCAATTCCAGTGTCTTTGTTTCGTGTTATTGCCAAGATCATGGGTGTAATTTGTATGATAATCTGTTAGCACCTTCAACAGCTTGCTGCACTTCTAAAGTGTTAAAGACACATTTTGTGGTGTTAGGAGGTACGTGACAGAAGTCACATCAGTTTTACATCATAGCTCAAAAACATGATAAGATTAAGTAATCATGATAAGAATCAACTTTTTTTTCACCTAAGCAGTCCAATCTAGCCCAACTAAAATATTCAGCTTGTACAGAACTGAGCAAGATTATCTTCAGCAAGACTAGTTCTTCATTGTTCCTTCCATGTCATTGTTTATCTGGAAATGAAAGGTCATCTGGAAGCAGAGTTGAAAACTGTGTTTAGTATATTGGGCTTGCTCATGATTATAATACTAGTCATGTGATTATGGATCATCAGCCATCACCATATTCAAACTCCTTGAAGAAAACGTCTCTGTATCGAACTTCTGCAACCTGAAGCATAAAATACATACCGTTTCAAACAGTTACTAAATAGAGGCATGCTCAAAGAAATAGGTCAATTATTTGCTCTATTATTTCTTTCATTTTTCTTGTGGTTTTATATTGATTGTTTTGGTCCTTGGTATTTTAATCGCTTATTTCATCTGGAAATTCCATTCATTTTTAGCTGACATGTCCATGAGGTTTAAAAAAAAAAGGTTAAAATAGGTCTTTCAAGTTTCCCACCATGCTTTTCCTTCACTCATTTTATATGGTCCTGCAGTGCGACAAATGCAGTGCTGGGGGAAACGTGTTACAAGTAATGTGAGTTACGTAATCAGATTACTTTTTCCAGTTAACTAGTAAAGTAACACATTACTTTTAAATTGATTACAAATATCTGAGTTACTTTTTGAAAAAGTTTTCCCATTTATTGACTGCCAGCTCTCCTGTCTCGATGTTGAGAGAAAGTTCAGACGTTGTGTGCGCTGTGTGAACATGATGGTTATTGTAGTTCTAGACTAAATGTGAGCATGCATTTACTCATCTAATTTCCACAAAAACAGATTCAGTGTTCCTCAAAATGAATAAAAACAATGAAATGCATTCCTGCAAGAATTAAAATGTTAATACATAATTTGTGTATATTAATGTCTGCTGTTGACCTGAAGTAAGAGTCGTCTGCCGAGTCATTTAACTTTTGATGTGAAGGGGCCTTTACATTTGCAAAAATAGAACTTTTGTTATTTTGTTATAAAAAAAAAAAAAAACCAAGTCCACCCAAAAAGTAACGGGAAAAAAAACCAAACCAACGTAGTGCATTACTTTCCATAATAAGTAACTCAGTAATGCAAGCCAATTAGTTACTTTTTTTAGGGAGGAACGCATTACTTTCCTCAAAACTGGACAAATTAATTTTAAAAGACAATGCATTATAAATATTTAATTAATTGATACAAGTTTTTATGGGGCTGTTAATTGACACCGTTTTCAACTAAACGGAAACGATACCATTATCTTCTCTGTGTATACTATAAAACCAGACTTTGTGAAAAACATGACATCATGCACATGCACTCACATGCATATTCAGTCTATAGGCGCGTAGTGTTGCTTCACAAAGTGACATCGCCAACTACTTGTCTGGCAGCATAACACAGCATTTTAGTTGTTTTTGCAGTTCTGTGTGAACGGGGATCATTTTGACAATGTTGTCATCTATATGCGAAAAACACAAAGGAAAAACTTGTCCATTTTTAATCATTGTTGGGCAAAACGTACCCTTAAGTAATAAAAATCATGGAAACAGCACGTCACTCCACATGGCATGTTATCTTCTCTAAACTTTTTAATGTTAATAACTCCTTTTTCAAATTTTTGTTGTGTCTTTTATATTTTGTATTTGGAGTTGCACCCCAGTCAAATTAGAAGTGTAAGATCTGTTTTTAACAATCATTTATCTAGAGTCAGGTGTTCTGATTCTGCAACAGAATAAAGCAGCTGTGGTTATAGAAACAATATTTTAGTGAGAATAATCACAGCGCATATTTACAATTACCTGTGCATTCGACCTCATCCGCTCCTCGGGGCAGATGCACAGTCCATGGAGAACTCAGCTGTGGGAGCGTATTTATTTACCACAGCTCTGCAAGGGTGTAGATGTAGACATGGAAGATTAATGTCTATTGACACACAAACAATTCAAAACATATGATTAAGCCTAGACATGCCCGTGGATATCAGCACCACTACAGCCCTAAAGACTTGCCCTACAGTTAGTGGTTTATCGGCCAGCTTATACACCTAGCTTGCTGGTTTGTTCGTACAGTGTGTGTGTGTCTGGCCAGCCAGCCGCGGGCTCGTCCTCCCCCACACCTGATTAGCAAAGAGGCAAGAAGCTGGAGGAGGGGCCAGCCAACTGCCACCAAGAGCCGGCTGCTATGAGGACTCAAGAGAGGCTAAATACAGTTGATAATGAGACTGTAGGCCTAGATTGTATATGTAAAATTGACAGCTTTATCAGACTAGTTTCACCCCCATTTACATGTTCACCAAATAATAACTGTTTGTTGTGGAGATGCTAAGCTGTAGGCTTATTACATACTTTTTAAATTCCTATTCTTGAGCTTATTCAGAATGACTCGTCAGTCCACATTATTCCAAATAAATAAAGTTTGTCATCATAATTTTTAATCAATATGTAATAACTTCATACTCTTCATCTGAAATGATTTGCCTTATGCTGATGTCACTTTAGGCCTTTTGGCCCATTGGATAACCAATATTGCAAACCAATAGACAAATATTTGTTGTAGCTCACTCTTCGATATGCAACACCAACTTTTCGTGGTAATTCCTGAAATCCTGTCCAACAGGATTAAATTGCTTGTTTAATTTGGAAATACACACCGTCCAAAAGTTTGGAGTCAGTAAGATTTATTTTTTTATGAATGAATGAATGAATGAATGAATGAATGAATGAATGAATGAATGAATGAATGAATGAATGAAAATGTTAAGCACAGACAAATAATCCTGAAAAAATGTTTCACGTTTTCCATAAAAATATATCAAGTCGTTTTTCAACATTTATAATAATAAGACATATTTCTTGAGTCCCAAATCAGGATATAAGAATGATTTCTAAAGATTCATGTGTACATTCATTGTACCCATCGCATTACTAAATAACATTTTAAAACATAATAAAATGAAAAACAGTTTTAAATTGTAAAAATATTTCACAGTATTACTGTTTTTACTATATTTTTGTCAAAATGCAGGCTTGGTGAGCATAATTAAAAAAAATTGTCCTCCCAAAACATCTTACCAACCCCAAATGTTTGAACGGTAGTGTACATCACATTGTGGAAGTAAAAAGAATAAACCATGTTAAAGCATGCTACAGCATATGAAAGAGTTTTTTGTTTGTCACTCAGACACTTTGCCCCGCTTTGCTATGAGAAGATCAGACTCTGTTACAGCCACCCCAACCCCCTCCAACCCAGTTAAAGAAACACTTCACTATCTAGGCCTACCTTGTTTATTTAGCTCCAAAATGACCCCTTGCTCTCTCTCTCTCACAAGTGTTGAGCAGCTGGATATTGTTGCAAAGCTGTTGTTTTCAACCTTGTTTTCAATAGATTTCTTAGTAAGGGTTGGGAACTCATTTTCATCAGTATTCTGCCATGAAGTTTTTACAAATTGTAAGAAATATGTCAACAGGGTCACATCAGGTCAGGGTTTGGGTGCTGGCTGCCTTACAAGTGCACTCCCAGTAAATACATGACGCAATTATGAGTTGCAACAGTTAGAATATGATTTAGCTGCGATTTGTTGTTGACTTCCATGGAATTTTGGTAATGTCTTCAAAAACAATTAAATCAGTCAGAGTATTAAATACGCAATGACATGTTTTTTGTGTTGTTGTTTTTTACATGGGTCTTACACAAGACTCATCATAAGGTATGGTGACTGTAATATAACA